CGACTTGCTTCCTTTTCAGAGCAGATTATCAATTACCAGAAGACAGAGAGCAACCCAAAGAAACGTTCAAAAGGTGGAAGAGATCAGCAGGGGGCTGGCATACAGGAGGCTTTTTATAAAAAGCTTTCTTGGGCGTTTAGAAACTCGCATCTACACAGATATCAGGAACACAAACAAGTGTTACGAAGACAGATAAACACGATCCACTTCCAGTGACATTGAAAGTGATTTGTTGTAATTCTCCAGAGGAAAATCAACTTGTGCAGTTTTGGTCTTTTTTTTTTAATACGGTCCATTTCATTAATTTTTTCGCTGGATGTACCGCGGTCCCGTCCAGTTTACGGGTGCCTCCTTTGCCTAGCAGGTTGCAAACGAGACACCCGTACACACGCGCTCCCATGCTGTGTGCGTCCATTGACACAAACAGCACTCAAAAAGCTGTGCCCTGTTCCCGCCTCTTCCCAGTATCTGGGGGTATATGGAAAGGTAGCAGGGTGTTTTTTTCACCTTAACCAACAAAAATCTTTCAAACGATAAGCAATACCCAATATTCATGCCATGCGCACAGAGGTAAAAACCAAGGAAAACATACTAGGAGTAATGCCATGAATGTATATTAAAGAAATGCAGCCTAACATGTTATACTTTCTATTAAAAGACTAACCCAACTACAAGGAATAGATACGGGTCTTTTGCGCTATGACGAACAAAAGATAAAATGGCAGCTTATGTTACTACAATCTCTTTAACCAAAACCATTAGTGAACGCAGCTCATTCACACACAGTGTTAAGTCTAAGCCCTCGTTCACACCTGACCGTTTTGTAGCGCGTTCTACGCTCGACGAACGCTCTACAAAACGGTCAAAAATATAAATTGCATTGTAGTCAATGGCCTCGTTCCCACCTTGCCGTATTTCCGCCCGTCCCCAACACCCTACAAAACGGCCCACGCCTGAAAAGGTCCAGGTACTACTTTGGGCCGTTTTGTAGGGCGTTTTCCATTGGGATACAGCAAAGTAGCCTTCGAAAATCGCGCGACTTTTTACCGCGAATCGCGGTAAAAAAACGCGCGACAGACATGCATATTCCAATACGCCTAGGTGTGAATGGGGCCTTAGGGCCTATTTACACTACAACGTTGTGCTAAAGGCATCGCACTGTGCAATGCTTTACACGCTGCGCGCTGGTTCTTTGCATTTCCATTTATTCTGAATTGTACCCCAACGCACCTCCCAGTAGGCAGGCATTGCGCTGCAATGCATGATATCGCCATAGCAATGCATGCACTACTTTATTCACTGCACAGCAGTGCAACACATGCTAGGGTGGTACCGAGTGTTGCAGCACAACTCACACCCATTAGGAGGTGTGTTCGGTTGCCAAGCAGAATGAATGAGAACATACCAGCACACCTAGCGTCTGGTGCATTGCACTGTTCGATAGTGTGTGCTAAACACATGGATTCTGTGCCTTTAGCACAATTCTATGGCATAAATAGGACCTTAAAATGGCCATACACTGAACAGCCATTTGCTGCTGAATTGGACAAGTTTTGTGGGAGGCCTTGTTGGCACTACCAAGCATGATAAAAGTTGATTTCTTGACAACAGACCCGGGTAGAAAATTGTTGGCTAAAAAGTGACTGCAGCCAATCAGCTGGACTTGCACGTATTCTGACAGCTGTGGTCACCAGATGTCAAACACGATAGCCAACAGGAGAGATTTCTTGGCAAGAGAGGTTTATCATTTTTGGGCTGAATGAGAAAAATCCAACTGTATGGCCAGCTTTATTTGTGGGAATGTGTAGATTGTAAGCAGTGTAAAGATAAACATTAGAGCAGATCCTATCCCATATCAACTGGCCTATTCAAGTTCACCATGAGTGGGTTCTAGTTTTCCATATGTGGGTCTATCATTCATTCATTTATAGAAACAGATGTACATCTATGCATTCAAACCCCCACATCTACAGACTGATCGCTGATGAGGTTTCCGAAAAGATTTAACTTGGTCACAATTGTCTTTTTCAAACAAGAAACTGAAACACTAGAGCATCTTTTTTTATGTTCCGATAATCCGTGTATGTTTGGGCTAGATTCTGTGCTAGCCCACAATTTAGAGATCACTCAGGAGGTAAGGGAAGTGCATCAACCCATGTATGTGGCTCTACCCATGAGTGAGAATAGCCGTGTGCGACTACCAGTACACCTCTTATTCAGATTCGGCTACCATTGTGAATGACAATATTAGTTGCAGATCAAACTGCCCAACAAAAATCACCCAATTTGCAAGCATGAAGGCAGCTTTATTTTCATTACTATTCCATGACCTATATATATCCTTTAGCTTGCAATGCCAAAAGAATTTAAAAAACCATTAGCTACACAAGAATTTACAAAGACATTCTGAATCTCAATGCGTGTTCTATAAATAGTCAGTACACACAAAAACAGACAATCCAGTTTTTGGTAAATGCTGGTGACTGATTCGAGTGACTCACTGGCTTCTTTTAGCTCTCAGGAATTCCAGAAAAGCCCTCAGCACCAGAACTACTTGCTCTACCCACCTGCCTCAGCCACAACTAACAGGTCTCACTCTACCCCCAGGTTCTCCTACTTTTGATTGAGAAGGAGGAAGAAAAAAAACAAAACAAAAAAACTATGCAACCTCATCTGACTTTCAACCAGCAATGCTCTCTCTCCCAGTTGCCTCTAAGTCTGGTGCAAGCTGCTGCCCTATCATGCTAGGCCTTGCAGTGCCACGGGCTACAAAGGACTTTTCGATCTAGCACTATGGTCTTCCAGGGTATAGAACACAGTTATTTGTCTATAAGTACTTGGCACCATTCTATTAGCACTATGGTCTTTCAGTAACCATGGTACAGAACTTTCCTGCCCAACTTTCTGGTTAGTTGCAGCCAGGGAGGTATCACTGCTTGTGTCTGACACTTGGGCATTTACTATGTTTATACTCCAATTGAAATAGGTTGACTGAAGAAACAAAAACAACCAAAACACAAATCTATTTCCTACTTTAACCAGCAAAACCTTCTCTACCTCCAGTCTCTGTACATCTCTGGTGCAAGTGCCTGCCCTGTCATGCTGGGACTCGTAGTTTTACTGGCTACAAAAGACTACCCTATTTAGCACTATTGTCCTCCAGTGCATATAGTACACAGCTCCCCAGCCCAGATCTGTATAGCTTAGTGGAACTATCCCATTTAGCACCATGGTCCTCAAGTGCACACAGTACACAGCTCCCCAGCACAGATCTGTATAGGTTAGCGACACTGTCCTATTTAGCACTATGGTCCTCCAGTGTATAGAATACCATGCTGCCCAGACTATTGCTGTACAGGTTAGTAGTAGCTGGGGAGATCTTAGTGCCGGAGTCTGACATTGGGTATTGTATGTTATAGGCCAGTATAAAAAAATATAATGCATGGATGGACAAAAAATAATTACAACACCATCCTTAACTTTCATTCAGCAATGCCCCTCTCTGGCAGCAGCTTCTATTGAAGTCTAGTGCAAGCTGCTGCCCCATCATGCTGGGATATGTAGTTCCACAGGCTACAAAAAGACTGCTATACTTCAAGTGTCTGACTGGGGAAAAAAACAAAAAACTCCATCCCTAATTTTTACCAACAATGCCTCCTCTCCCTACAACACCTACAGAAATCTAATGCAAGTTATGCTGTGGTTTGTAGTTTTACAGGCTACAGAACACTATTCTAATGTGCACTATGGTCTCCATCTGTATGTACACTGTCCTATGTCACACTATGGTCTCCTGGTGTATATAGCAGACAGTCGCCCATTCTATGTCTGTGCAGGTGACGCTGTCCTATGTCACACTATGGTCTCATGGTGTATATAGCAGACAGTCGCCCATCCTATGTCTGTACAGGTGACACTTCCCTATATCACACTATGGTCTCATGGTGTATATAGCAGACAGTCCCCCATCCTATGTCTGTGCAGGTGACACTGTCCTATGTCACACTATGGTCTCATGGTGTATATAGTAGACAGTCGCCCATCCTATGTCTGTACAGGTGACACTTCCCTATATCACACTATGGTATCCTGGTGTACATAGCCCTCCATCCTATGTCTGTACAGGTGACACTGTCCTATGTCACACTATGATCTCCTGATGTATATAGTACACAGCCCCCCATCCTATGTCTGTAGGTGACACTGTCCTATGTCACACTATGGTCTCCTGGTGTACATAGCCCCCCATCTTATGTCTGTACAGGTGACACTGTCCTATATGTCACACTATGGTCTCCCGGTGTGTATATAGTACACAGTCCCCCATCCTATGTCCGTATAGTTGATGGACAGCCAGGGAGATGTCAGTGCTGGAGTCGGACACTACAACAGGGTGATCAGCATGTTATGGTCCAATAGAATACAAATATTGCAACCCCATTCCAGACTCCTGACTAGCAATGCCTTCTCCACCTGCAGCCTGTATAGAAGTCTGAGTCTCCTGCAGTCATGCTGTGACTTCTAGTTCCACAGGCTACAAAAGACCGACCTTCTCAGCACTGTGATTTCCAAAAGGTACATGTCACTGCTGGAGTCTGGCAACTAGTCAGCCCAATAGACCCAACATATAATGTATGGGTGGCTTGAAAATGAAAGGCAAAAAAAATAAAACAAGCACATCAGTAAGTTTTAAGCAGCAATGTCCAGTCCTCTTTAGAAGCCATGCTGGGACTTGTAGTTCAGCACACTACAAAACACCGTCCTATTGAAGTCTATGGAGCCCGTGGTGTAGAAGGTACACAGGATTGTGTAGTTGTCAAGCAGTTAAATAACTTCCAGGGAAAAGTATCTCCGAGAGCCCGGAGCCCACTTCGTGCTGCCATGAAATGACCGGCTATGAGAAGAACTCTGCTAAGAAGTAGTGTAGCCACATGAGGGAAGCCAGCGGAGAGGGAGGCAACAGGTCCCAGCAGGGATCCCGCCCCGGCCCCCCCAATTACCTGGTAGTCGGTTAGGATGATCTCCCGGTCCGTGTTGGACGCCATGGCGGTTCTGTGGTCCGAGCTCATAGGGGGAGGGAAAGCAGTCACCCTTCTCCCCCCTCTGTCCGTCTCTGGCCCGGGGAGCCCTCCTCAGCGCTGGCACGCCGAGAGGAAGCGGGGAGACAGGAAACCAGGGAATGGCAGCACCGCCTACTCCTCCTCACCCTGCCCCAACCAGCCAGACCCCTCTCACCGCCCGTACGCCGCGCCTGTCGCACCCTTTGCGTGTCACGCTGTCGCGCCGGACGACGCTTTGCGGCCGTCACATGATCCCCGGACAGGGGAGTAACACATGGACCCGACACGGGTGGGGGGGCTGCCAGGTACCGCCATCGCCGTGGCGCCCTCTAGCGTCACCCCTGTGATAACACGCGTCCGCAACTTTTTATACACGTCTCATAACTAGTACAAACTTGGCCCCAGCTTTACCTTTATTAATCTCACAGCTAAAACACTTACAAAAGTTCTTCAATACAAACTTCTGATATATGTAAAACCTAACTGAATGACAGTTATTTTAATGTGTGGCCTGTGCATCAGAAACAATTGCCGCTTTGTAACCTGTTCCCACTGGCCTAATATATATATTAGAAGTAAATGCTGAGCTGTCATAAAGTTACCCACCACCAGCAACTGCAATGTGTGACCCTCCTATATTCAGCCCCACCACTGTCCCTCTGTAAATGTGTGACACTCCTATATGCAGCCCCACCACCGTCCCCCTGTAATGTGTGACGCTCCTATATGCAGCCCCACCACCGTCCCCCTGTAATGTGTGACCCTCATATGCAGCTCCACCACCATCCCCCTGTAAATTGTGACCCTCTTATATGCAGCCCTACCACCATCCCCCTGTAATGTGTGACCCTCCTATAAGCAGCCCCGCCACCATTCCCCTGTAATTTGTGACCCTCCTATACGCAGCCCCCCACCATCCCCCTGTATTGTGTGACCCTCTTATATTCAGCTCCACCACCATCCCCTGTAATGCATGACCCTCTTATATTCAGCCCCACCACCAGCCCCTGTAATGCATGACCCTCTTATATTCAGCCCCACCACCAGCCCCTGTAATGCGTGACACTCATATTCAACCCCACCATCATCCCCTGTAATGTGTCGCCCTCTTATATTCAACCCCACCACCATCCGCTGTATTGTATGACTGTTTTATATTTAGCCCCACCAACAGTCCTTGTAATGTGAGGTCCCCTCACACTTAGCCTCACCACCAACCTCTGTAATGCATTACCCTCTTGTATTTGGTCCCACCACTATCCCCCTGTAATGGAAGGTCCCCTCATGTTTAGTCTCACCACCAGCCAAATGCCAATCTAATGTGTGACCCACTTATATTTAGCCCCACCACCAGCCCCTGTAATTTGTGGCCTCCTCATACTTAGCCCCAGTAATGTGTGACTACATTATACAGGTGAAACTCGAATAATTAGAATATCGTGCAAAAGTAATTGCAGTAAGTGCTGCAAAAGGGGCCCAAACCAAGTACTGAGTACATATGCATGCTTGTACTTTTCAGAGGTCCGATATTGTTCTATGTACAATCCTTGTTTTATTGATTGCATGTAATAATCTACTTTTTTGAGGTTGTGGATTTGGGGTTCTTGGGGTTTTCATGAGCTGTAAGCCATAATCATCACAATTATGACAAATCACGGCTTGAATTATCTTGCTTTGCATGTAATGAGTCTATCTCATATATTAGTTTCACCTTTTAAGTTGCATTAGTGAAATAAATGAACTTTGCACAATATTCTAATTATTCGAGTTTCACCTGTATTTGCCCACCATCAGCTCTCCTTCCCCCACCATGTAAAGCTTCCTTTAAAATTCATCCAGAATATTAAGACTCTAAACCCAATAAAAGGTCCCATCTCTGGGCACACTGGCATTCAGCATAGAATCACCTATAACATAGTATTTACACAGACCACCAATGTAAAATGGGATTTACACTGAGCGCTAGAGATGTGCATTCGGACGAACTTGCCGAACCACGAAATTCTGTTGTGTGTGAACCTCTTATATTCAGCCCCACCACCAGCCCCTGTAATGTGTGACCTTTCTCATATGGCCATGCAGTACCTGAAAAATCTACCTTTTGTCTTGACTTCCGCTTAAAAAAATAGTGTACCTCCTAGAATGTGGTGGTGTCTAGGTACTCCTGTGCCTACAGTCTCAGTGTATGTGCCCACTTTGTCATTGTGATCAGTGTCAATTTCCAATGCGTTGCAGTGCACATTGCAGAAACGCAGCCTTTTAGTTTTTATTGGGCTGCTAACACACTGCTATACATTTTATATGGTCATGTACCATTTTTATTTTAATGGGGTGAACCACAGCCCACAGATGGCTCACATATATGTTTTGCAGTGGGCCAAATTGCATGTGTTTTGTGGTGCACTAGCAAAGTGCATTGGGGTGTCGTTAAAAACAAATGGCACTGTAACACACCACGTTCAGCTTTGTGTTCTACTGCAATGCAATAGTCCAAATGACCATTTAATTGCTTTGTTGTGTGCTAGCATGGTGCGTTGGGACACCTTTGAAAAGAAATGGCACTGCAACACAACACATTTAGCTTTGTGCATTACTGCAGCACAATAGTTTGAACGACCCTTTAAATGGTGTGTGGTGCGCTAGCACGGTGCATTGGGGCACCATTGAAAACGAATGGCACTGCAACAAACCACACTCAGCTTTGTGTAGTACTGCAATGCAATAGTCCAAATGACCATTTAAATGCTTTGTGGTGTGATAGCACAGTGCATTGGGGCACCATTGACAACAAATGGCACTGCAACACAACACATTCCTAAAGTTTCACACTAATTCAGGAGTCCACAGGGCAAACCAAATCATATTCATACTGGAATTCCAGCCAATGCAAAAGTGACTCCACTGCCATCAATCTTCTTTGTACTTTTATAGAAACTATAGATATCCACCAGCAAATCTTTAATCAAATGCAGTAAAGTTTCTGTATAGTACCCATTCTCTTTACAATTTCCTTGTTGGAGGGATCAAATCCCAATACAATTAAGTGCTGTTTTGCTCAGCAAACATTCCTTCCATTTTTTACCACCTTAGTTCAATAGAGAAAAGAGAGGTTTACATGATTTCTTGTGGTAACATTATTCAAAATAATACAGAAGAAAGACAAGGTTACTCACCAGAACCTATCCTCACAGCTCCAGTCAGACTAAAATAACCCCTTCCCTCTCTCCAAGGGTCTCTCTTAAATATTGCAGGCTCCTTTTTCCATGTGTCAGCAGGCTGATAGGAAGCACAGGGGCTTCTCGACCAATCTGTATTTTCTGAACAATACTGGATGTGAATTCTTTCTTCCAGTGGAATAAATCATGGTTTCAGGGCTTTGCTATGTGAAAATGTTTCTCTTTACTACTGAGTCAGACTCCTGAGCTCAGATATTTTGAAACCATTTATCAGATGGCCAGCAATAATACATGCTTGTCTCATCCCCTCTTGCCCTTAGTGAACCACAGGTTAATCCATGCATGACTCAGCCACCTGGAAATTGCACATGTGCTGCTTCTTATCCTACCTTCTGTTATGATAAGAAACCTGCAGATTATGCAATAAAACATTTGTCTATAATACGTAGCTATGTTGACCTCATGAGCAGGTTTGGGCAGCATCATCCTATAACTGAAATTTGACATGCCATTTGTTCGACTCTAGCTCCATTCATACCTATGCATGAGTGTAGCCAAGTATGAGTATGCAGGCATTCTTTTGTGCCTTTCTACATCCATCTTTCAAGGGTTTTTATGCACTAGGTGTAGTACAGAAACAGAATCGAGCCTTTTTGGCCCATAAACTTTTAAATGTGGCCATCAAGACTTTTGACCCCAGAGACTGTGACACCATAGTCTTTAAAACAGGCCGACATAGCCATAGGCAATACATGTTTTTCATGTACTCCCATTAAGTGTAGAGGGCCAGAAATGCTTGATTCTGCCTAAAAAGAAGCTTCTGAACCATCTGGAGCATTTTAAGGCGCTTAAGTTGCTCAGGTGTGAACAGGCACCATAGAAGACAATAGGATTTATTAATGTTGAGCATTTTGAAAACTCCAGGTGTGAATGGGGCCTCTGGCTTCAGTACTTTTAACTTACTCACCTGGAATAAGCTTCCAGATTAGAAAGTCAAAGGGAATTTAGATCTGCATGCTTGTTCCAGGTCGGTATCTCTCCGAAAGTATGGAAGCCATTGGATCAGTATGGCAGCCAGGCAAAAAGGATTTTTAGAAATATAGGTTGGCAGTGTTAGCCTCTACAGGTGTCCTTTCAGACCTTGTCCAAGTGACAAAAAGCTGGTAGACCTACATTTTTAAGCTCCCTGACCCCCTAGATATTCACCTAGAAGATTGTTCAATGATCGGCGGACAGTAAAGTGCACTTCATGTTGCTGCCGAAAATATACATTGTGTTGCATTCGGGAGGCTTTGCTGTTTCAGCGCCATTCAGTACCAATGCCTGTGCAGCCATTACCAGTGCCAGCCAGAAGCAGTGCCTGTAAAACTTGTACCAGTGCCAGCCAGAACCAATGTCTGTAGAGCCAGCACCAGTGCCAGCCAAAGCCAGTGTCTGTACAGCCAGTACCAGTGCCAGCCAGTTCCTCTATTTGACTTCTCCTTTAAAGAAAAATGAAAACCAACCCAGAGAGGGTGTTTGGCAAGCAGTAATTAACAGGTTCACTTTAATACCTGGCCCATTCCTTGCATATACTTACCTTTTGCTTCCACCACAAATGCTTGACATTTGGAGCAAAGAAAACTATCCTGTACTTTCAGGTGTAGGGAAGGTGTTCTTCACTCCCCTTCTCTCGTGTGACCAGGCTGGTTCTTAGATTATTATTATTATTACATAGTATTTATATAGCGCCAACAGTTTGCGCAGCGCTTTACAATGTAAGGAAGACATTACAATTACAATACAATTCAAGACAAGATAGTAAGGAGGGCCCTGCCCCTGAGGGCTTACAATCTGAAAGAGGAGGGGGAAATGATACATGAGGAGGTAGCTGTGTGGGGATGAATTGTTTGAGAATGTGTTCCGGCACTGTCACGTAGGGGTGGCAAAAGAGTTTTTAGCCCTGTGTAAGTGCCAATTGGATGCAACTATGAACTGACATATGACGACTTCCCTTCACTCACAGATCAGTGGGGGAGTAAAGGTGAACTCTGCCAAAAGTACCCTTGCAGTGGGGCTCCCTCTGAACTGCTAGGGTTAAATGCTTG